GAATGATTTTGTCAGTAAAATTCCTTCTGATCTGCTTCTGCATTTCATGTTGTCTTCTACCACATTTTAAAATATTTTTTGAGCTGAGGAAGGTGAAAACATTGAGTAAGTCCAGGGTTATAAACACTTAGAAATATTTCAGTGGAGAAAGTACAAGCTGCAGGGATGCCTGAAATACACATTCTGCCTGATGAATGTGCTCGAATTCTTTGGGTGCACTACAAATTGTCAGCCAAAAGTGAAACAAATACAAATAATTTTATTCAGAAGACAAAGCTGTGTCTCACAGAGGAAAAATAAGAAACATTGGTTGTAGAACACCAGTGGATTTTTTTAATGTATGTCTGTTCAGTATTTGACCTGTTTTTTCTTTTTCCTGCATCTTTCTTATATCTTCAACGTTCTTTAACAAAATTGCAAGACAGAAGTAAAAGAACAAAATATTATAGCTTGTACCAGTAAAAATATTAAAAAAAATAAAACAGATTTCTCTTGGGTGCTTGGTGTGCTCTTGGCAGCCCATTTTCAAACTAGTGTAGGATACTCCAGCATAGTCCTGGACTATGACTTTTTTGAGTCAGCTCAATCTGTGTCTTAATACTTGCTTAAAGGTTTAGGTAGTGTGGATGTCAACATGATATTCCATGTGTTTACATGCACTGCTCATTCAGTTGCAGGATAGATCACTTCTTGGTATACTGAACATATTTCTTCTCTTAATGCAAACTAATTCCATATGCTCCACTTGTGACTGTCTCATCAAAATATCGAAGGAAGTCTGTATGGCTCTAATTTTTTGTTTCTATAGAAGAAAGCTTTGAAGTTGCTATCTATGTAACCAGGTCTCAAATATGCACTATAACTGAACAGAATTAATAAAATTAGGCTTATTACTCACATTTTTGTGCTAAAGGCATTTCTTTTTATGGCATATATTCATAAGTCTTGTTATAGTACTAATGTAGGAAGTGGTAATTTCACCTTTTATCCAATATTATGTAATTTTAAACATCAAATTAATGTCCATATGTTCTGGTTGAGTCTACCATATCTGCATGAAGTTATCTTTCAACCCACATTCTCTCCGGTAGCCAGTGATACACCTCTGTAAATGATCCTGAAAGAAGGAATTGTGTTACTTCTGAATTACTAACTTTTAATGATTTTCTTTTGCCACCAGAAAAAATCATCAGAAAAGGCACCCTCCTTCAATTTAGGGGACCGAAACACAATGGGAATTTCCTTAGGAGAAGTCTTTCCCCTACTTACTCATGTAATTAACTTTTGTCTTTTGTATCAGGCTTATTAAGCTCACTGCTGTGTTTTGAAATTATGCCCTTAGACCTTTCATAGAATTAATTATTACCTCTTTGTCTCTGCTTGGGGCCTGAAAATTCTACCCTTTCTCAGAGGCATGAAATAACAACTTTTTTCAAAATATATTTCTATAAATGCTTTGTGATACCTCAAAGTCCAATGACTTTCCTTCCTTCAGTTAATTCTCTTGTTCTTTGAAGGCCTGCTTTTTCCTATTTAAAGACAAAAAGAAGGCCTAAAATTGTTTGGGAACTGGAAGCTGTTGAAGAGGTTGCTGGACCCTGTGGTCAAAGTAAAAAGCAAGATTTTCTGTGTTTCTCCTTCTGTGTTTGTCTCTTACACCTTGATCCAAAAAAAAATTTTTAAGAAAAAACAAACAAAAAGCACAAACCACAACAAAATAAAACAAGGTAGAAGAGTTTACTCTGAGGCTTTTCTTTCCTGTTTTAATAAAAATTCTTCATTATATTGATGCTGATACTTTTGTTTAGGAAATTACTGAACTGTAGCTAATATCATGTTTGTGTTTTAACATTAAATATTTTTAAAATGTTGAAAGAATGACTTTAAAGTTCTTTAATTTCAAGTGGAATTTCAACTGAAGGGTTTGAAATGCAACGTAATAAACAAAGCTAGGAAAACAAAGTAATTTTCAACCTACAGGTTGCTGGAACTTTTAGAGATTATTCAAGTAAGGCAGAAAAGTTCATGGGATCTAGACACCTAACTCCATTGGGCTCCTCTGTATAGTTAATAATGAGTGTTCTATATGAAATATTTTAGTACTTTCTGTACCAGAATAACAGAGCTGCACTATCTGTACCTGGCCTGAGATACACGAGTTCAGAAGAACTGAAGTTAAGGTCTCTAGGGTACGTGTTGTGTAAACTTAGTGGTGAATTATGTCACTCATGAAGTAAGTAGAAGTAATGTGTCTGAAGTAAGTAGTCGTAATGTGTCTGAAGCAGTTGATGGCATCTCAGCATCACTGCCCACCTGGCTCTCTCCAACAGATTCTGGGAACATCTTGAAAATCCCACAGATGCATTCTGTTGCTTGTTAAAGCAAGGTGACCAGAGAGTCCTTGATGTCTTACCAAATGTTTGGTGTTTTTTTTCACCAATTCTGCACTTCTGAAAACTATTTTTGTCTCTTAAAAATATTTGGGAATATGAGCAGGCAAAACATATGTTCATGGAGACAATACTGGCTGCACCCAGCCAAGATGTACTTACTAGTTAGACACTAAGTTAGTCACCAAGTTAGTCACCAATGTGATTTTGTGTCTTGGGTAACATCAGCATAAACCAATCTGGAGCAGTTTAGCCATGTCAGTGTTTAGCAGTTTAGCCAGGCAGGGACATATTTACATCTTTTGCTAGTACTCTAAAAAAGGCATCTTGCTTATTCTTCAGTGTTAATCTTTCTGTCAGCTATCAGTAAATATCTGTCAGTAGATTTTTCAAAACTTTAATTTAACCTACCTGCTCCACCTGCATCTTCTGGCTTAGTTAATTATTGCTGTTTCCTCATTTATTGCTATCTGGATCTGCTGTACTTGTCTTTTCCTAACAGGCTGAAAAGCAGAAGTGGAAGGGAGAAGTCACTGTTGCCTACACATTCCTTCAAAAGTGTACAGATTCTTACTTCATGCAAAATGGCTGGCCTGATCTCACTGTTTCAATTGTTCAGATCTGCTTCTCCTACATTATCTGTCATGCTTATAACAGTTATCCTCATTGACCATAACAAAAACTTTTACAGCATTTGATGATGTCACTTTCATTCCTTTAATGACTCAATCCACAAGCTACCAGATGTTATCCACCTGCCAGTACTGAAGCCAACTTGATCTCTGCTAATCGAGAGCTTTATGCAGTTTTCCAATCTGTTTGCCAAATTATTTGAAGGCATTTTTGATATTGAAACGGCATGGCAAATGGCAAGAGACTTACTGGTTTGTCTTCATTAAAGGTGACAATATTTCAATCAGATTCATTCAATTTTAACTGCCCTTCACTTAGAAACATCATTAAAGATTCTAAACAGCTTAGGAGAAAATATTACTTACAAAAGCTTAAAAATCTCAGCTGGGAATCCATCTGTGCCTGTAGCTTTTTTTCTTGTTGTCAACTACTTAATTACCTGGCTAATTTCCTGATGCAGAATTTGTGTCTCCTGTCTAAGCTGCTACATCTAACTTGGGGGGGATTTTCTCCATCAAGAGTGATGTAAATAGCTATTTCTCCCAGTGGAAATATAGTCTTCATGCAGTGTGTGTGTTTAGTCTGATGGCCTTAGTGTTAGACAACTTGGTTCTTGTGCTGTTATTTTTGTTGTTGTATTTTTGAATTCTCAGCTGCAATTGTTCCTTTCTAAACCATCGGGTTTGTTTTATTATTTTTCCAAAGAAATATCTCTGTGTTAATTGGATGAGAGACTTGCTTTCATTACATTTTGATGTTCCTGAACAGTTTTGTCCAGCTTTTTTATGTATTTTAATTGTTTTGGTAGGTTCATCAGTCACTAATCACATAGTTGAAGAGCCATTTTTAATGACATCTGTGTGGTTATAGAATATTTGACTTATGTTGTTGGTTGTTGTCTAAAAATAACAGTCTGGGCTTTATTCTGAAGTGGAGAGGAACTCGGCATGAATAAACTGAGATGGAGCCACACCTAGTTCTATACGTCTGTAGTTTGGAACCTGTGAGCAAGTGGTAATTATCAGGAATAAGTTACAGTTAATTCATGGACAAGTGAGTATGAGTTATGGTATCTGAAGCATAGCAGCATTGCATTTTAGGCAATGTTTGGTCACAGAAAACATTCTAGTGTCCTGGGCTGCAAAATCTGTGCTAATTACTTATAACTGTGGTGTCTCCTCTTCTTCATGAGGAAAGGAAGTATCAGAATAAGTAAGAGTGAATCCTATTGAGCTCAAAATAGTGTTGTGAGTTTTGGCTGTTTCATTAGTGCTTTGCAAAGTGGTTTTAAATCTTTGATTAGAAAGTGGCACTAGAATGAACATTACTGAGGTTGAGATTTTCTTCTAGTGTTTCAGAGCCCATAGAGAGAAAACAGTTGTCTTAACTGCTAACAATCCTGTGGAAAATAAAATCAAACATGAATGCTTTCATTTTAAAACAGATTAGCCAAATGAACATCAGAAATGTGTAACATCAGAAATCAGTGGTCCAAATGGGCCTTCTAGAAGTTTTGTAGATTGCACCATACTTTGGGGAATTTTGATTGTGCAAACCTTGATATAAGAAGGTTGTCACCAATCTGATAACTGCTGCTACAGCCTCTGCCAAGAGGACAGAAACCAGTGAACAGCTTCAAGTATTAATCACGTCTGTCTTCATTTCTCCCATATGTAAGAACTGTTCTGTATTATAAGGGTTAGATGGCAGCTGATGGCAGCCTGCATACCAGGGGATATGGCAGTCTTGCATTCTCTTTTTGTGCCCAAAGAAATGGTAGATGCAAGTAAGATATTAAATTCAAGGAAACTGTATATCATAGCTGGGAGAATTCAGTAAATACTACACAGATCAGCTAATCCTTCTTTTATTGCTAACTTCAGTTAGCTCTTTGCATACACGTACAGTGCACTTTTTCTTTTAAGCATCATATTTTTCCATAAAGGATTGAAGTAGCTTTGAGCACTACCTGGCAACAACACCCTTGCCTCTTCTAATAGTTCCAGCATTGCTTTCCAGGAGTGTGGCTCATCTACAGCATTGAGACAGAGCCCTATGGCAGGAAGGCTGCAGAGTCCTGCCATGTCAGAAGGAGAAGGGAGGTCACTGGGCAACCCTTACTCATGGGGAGTGTGCGCTCATTGCAGCATCAGACCTGCCTCTTTCCTTCTCTTGACCTGCACAGACCAGGAGCAGTCCTTGAGTGCTGTACCTGGGATGTTGCAGATGGAGCCACATGCCTGTAAAACAGTGAGCGTGTCTGCAGATGCAAACAGGTTGCATGGAAATCACATCACTTCCTCATCCTCATCTTCTCCTCAGGTTCTAATTGAAAAGAGGCTGCCACTGCTTCCCAAACAATTGAAAACCGCACAAAACCAAACTTGGGGTTAGAACTCCCTCTTTGACTTTGGTTCAACACTGTCAGCTGGAAAACTTCCATCCAGAGGTGGGTGTGAACCTCTGGCTTTTTAAGTTGGTCTGAATGTACTGCTGCTGCCCTTGCTTTCCAGAAAATGTCATAAATTGTTTAAAGAAAAGAAAGAAAGATGTTTCCCAAGAAAAGTGTAAACATTCCCAGTGCTGCTCAGCAGAAATATGCTATGGCCTTTATCCACAGGGAAGGCAGAGGAAATTGGGACTTCACCTTTCTGACCTCTTGCAGGAAAAAAAATGTGTCCAACCCATATAATTGTATTTTGATGTCAGCCTTCAACAAAGTTCCAGATAAAGAGAGATGAAGGCTCCCTTCCCCATCCTCCTGAGAATAAGTTTTGATTCATAACAGGAAAAAAGAATGGTATTATTATGTCATCTTTGTATGACAGAAAACTGTTTTGATTTTTTGAACTTCCTTCTTGGAGGCATATAAATACACAAGCCTCTTAAAAAGCCTAGCAGGGAGTTTTCTGAGTCCATGCACCATAGGCAGTTCACAGTCAGTACACATTTCTGCTAGTGGAGCTGTATCCGCATCTTAAAATCTAGATGCTAAGCAGACACCTGTGTTCAATCAGGCATCTTGACCATGCTGCTTGCTCTTAAGGTGTAACCATGCTGGCAAACTGAGCAATTTTGTTGCAGGACCAGGAAGCAGAACAGCCATGAGGCATGCATTTGTCCTGAGCAGGGGCATTGCAGCAAGCCAGGTGGGGGGGCTGTTCGGATCAGGAGGAGATGCCCCCCTGATGTAAGAGGGAAGATTCCCAAATTCTCTGTGTTCTAGAGGAAGGCAATACACTATTCTGTGTACAGAGGAAGGCTGGTGCTGGTGGGGCAAGGGGAAGGATGGAGAAATGAGAAGGGGAGCAAGAGATGTTCAGTGTGAGAGAGGTTGACTTGGAGTTGTCCCGAAGGCTGTCAGGGGAAGATACGTTCATGCCAATGCTAGTGTGGTATCGAGGCAGTTTTGATTTCTGAGGAGTTCAGAGCCCTGGGTCCTTTCCAAGGCCTTGGGATGGGGTTGTGCTAACAGTGTGCATTTGCTGGCATACAGCAAGATGTATGCCCAGTTTTTTCCTGAAGGTGCCCTATGTAATTCGGGAGCAGAGCAAGTTTTACTCTGAGTTTCCAGCAACCTGTTTACTCATGTAAATAAGGTCAAATTTGAAAAGATCAATCAGCCTTTTATGACTGAAATGTCCCTTCAGTACTTAAAAATATGCAACCATGGGTGCTCTAAAAAGACATCAGAATTACCGGTATGTGTTTTGGAGTCTGCTCTCCATCAATAAAGATGTCATTTGCTTCCTGACTTGCCCTTAAACTTCAGAATTGCCAATAAAGGTTGTGGAAAAGCCACAAAACTCAGGATTTTTGCTAAAAATAGAATCCTTTTGTTCTTTCCCAATAAGGATGTCTTTAGAAAAAGCCAGTGGCAAAGCTTACAACTGAATGTCTGCATCACAAGAGTGATGGCACCACAAACCGCAAATAATAATCCTAGCAAATAAGGGAGGATAATAATACTTTCTATGCATTTCTTTCTGCTTTCCCTTTGTAGGCTGATGTCGTCATTACGAATTGTCAGTTCCTAGTATCACAGCTAATGCTCTGGTGGTTTTGTTAGAAAGACAGTTGCTGTAGTGGCAGCAGCTAATTGTTCTTTGGATTTGTCTTTCATTGTAGAATTTTATGAATAAGTTTGTAAGTGAACTTGAACCCTATTTGAGTCACTTGGGTTTGTCCCCTCTTGCTGCTAGCTTTATTCCCAGGTTAAACCATCTGTCTAACAAAAAGTACCTGTTTCCAGAAATAGCTAAGGGGCACTAAGAAAAGCGTTTGACACTAAAATAGAGCAGTAAAAGTACAGTATTGGCAGCCTTAGGTTTCAGAAATGCTTTCACTGTATTATCGTCAGCTTTTCCAAAAGCTGCAGTAGCCTCTGGTGACCTGTCTGCAAACACTTCCATTTCAAAGAATAATAAGTGAGGTTATCCTTTGTCAGTTCTCTTTCAACATGCTCTTAGGAAAATAGCAGAATGTCTCATCAGACAAATGAAAAGCAAGGAGAAGTATAAAGGAATGTTACCAATAGGCAACAATGTAATTGCTGAATGGGGATGATACTGCTTATAATTCTGGTTTTCCTGCAGTTGTCTTCAATCCCAGAAGCCTCATTTTCAGCAGGATCAAACCCCTGCACTATTCAACAGTTTTCCCTTTAGTATAGGAGGTAATTTACCATTTCAGTTGGCCTCGCAGTGACTGAAATATTTAGGGGATTTGTGTAGTGACAGAAATAGATAAGATGTTTGAGGCAAACGGCTTAGTTCTGTTTTGGAAAATCTCCATGGGATTTAAGAGGATGCACTGATGTAATACAATTGGTGGGTTTATTAAAATTCTTTCTGAATAACATCTATGGTAAAAGTATTTCTGAATAACATCTATGGTAAATCTATTCCCATTACAAAGTCTTCCCTCTCTCCTACCACCCCCCTGCATAATATCCTTCCTGAATGAGTCAGAAACCTGTCTAGAGATGTAAATAATACAGCAACAAAAAATACAGAAATATTTTTAAAATTTATTTATTGTCTTTATAGTTCTATATAGCTGTGAAAATCACCAACAAACAGATCTTCCAGTGCAAGCTAAAGCTTCAGGCAGATTCAAGTCATTGTTTAAAAAAAAGTCAGAAGTAGCAGATTATCTGTTTGTTTATATACTATTTCTAGCTTGCTTAATCACAGTTCACAAACAAAAGTAAGGGTACTGACAGTCGATGTAGCACTGAGTCCAAGCACATCTATGTCTATGTGCATATGTACAAATGAAGACACATGCATTCACCGATATGGAACTAGATTGCTCACACACACTGGTAAAAGATTATTACTAATGATGCACTCAAAAAAATAAGAAATAGCAAAAACTGAATGTTGCTGGGGCAACCTTAATTTGGTTTCCTGGCGTCTTTGCTGCAACAGAAGCTGTTTGGAAATTTTTCTATGCAATGTTTTTGTCACAAAACACCAATCTATCAATATCAAGACACTCCTGTGCACATTCTGGTTTTGGGAAACATTTTCTCTAAGCCCAGACTGGAATTTTTATGATGCGAGAGTCAATTCAGGACTGGTTCAGACCAGTTTTGTAAACTTGGCTTGTTGCAGAAGGCAGCCCTATCTAGGTGACTTCCAGGTGACTTTCCAAGCCTGGCCTCTATTTTATTTCCTGGTTTTCTGACTTGTGGCAGTAGAACCATGTTGCAGAAATGCTGAATGCTCACAGCTGAAGCTGTAGTTAGTGGAAGACAAGCTCTGGAAATACAATACTAAATAATTATAAGAAACAGGTTGCAAACATTTGAAATTGCTTACCAACTTTGACTGTCTGTGCCTCTCTTCTTGATCTGTGAAACGATTCATTAACATTTGTGTATCATCAGTATAACACTATTATGGTAAGCACCACAGAAAGCCCTTAAGGAAATTTTATATTCTTTTTTGAAAGCAGACTTGAATAGTGTTCAATGAATAACGCATTAGGCAACAGTGTATTGAACAAGGAAATAATGAAATATTAAACATCTACAGGGCACTGCCTTTCCTAAGTAATTTAATGAGGCAGAGGTCTTGTGAGAAGAAACCTCTGGGTGACTGTGTCACCATACATCAGGACAATACATATGTACAACAGAGGTTGAAGTAAGGTTGCATAGACAGCCTTAATGCTGGGATTTCCTAAATCCTGAATGCTTAACTTTGTCATCTTTTAGAAGAACAGTATTCAGGTGGGCTTTCTGTGGGTAATACATGTATAATCTGCAGAGAAATTATATGCCAAATGTTAGGAATATTTCATTGGGATGAGTTTCATTGATCTTATTATTTCTAAACAGTCAGTAATTGGAATTATATTTAATTAACATATTCATTAAAGTTACATACATTGGTCTATGCAGAAGTCAGACAAGCAATAATTTTTCCATTAATATGTTTTCAAGGCCTCCACGCAAAGCTGGGATATGATATTTCCTGTACACACAAGATTACCCCATACTTGCCCCCCGTACCTCTCTATTCCTTTCTTGCTGGAAATTTGCACCAGCTGTGGCCTCCTTTGAGCCAACAGAACTGTGGTGGGATTCAGGGTGGAAGTAGGGACAGATGAGAAGGAAGTGAGGGTAGTTCAAGGAGTGAAGGTGCCTTTTAAACTTAGGTGTTCGCAGCTCTGTCTCTAAAGTTTGCCGCCTACCTGAGAACATCCCATTGTTGATGAAAGCATCACATCTGTTAAACATCACAGGAGTATGCATAGCACTGCTGAGATCTTCCGGATCTGCAGCCTGATTTCTTGATGTCTTGTGAAGGTGGGCATTCTCTGTTTTTGCTGATTAAAAAGTAAAAATTCCCTTACCCATCAGTAATGAGGAAAACCAAATAAAATTCCAAACGCAACTCCTTGGTGCACTGATGAGACAGGGACCAGAAGAAAAAAAAACAGAAATTCTCATATTCTTGAGCAGTAAGACCCACATAACACTGCAAGAAATATCTTCTCATTCTCCAGTGTGTACAACCAGAGGTTTCTTCAAACTTCTCACAGTCAAGATCCTGGACAGCCCATATAGCTGGCTCTTCTGCAGAATGCCCAGACACTTTCATCCTGAGGATCAAAAACCTCAGTGACAGGGTTTTCCTCAAAGAACACAGCTTTATACCAGCCAGCCCCAGCGTACTATTGCTTCTTCTATTCATTTAGAAGAAATATACACCAGAAAATGGGGAATTAGTGTTCAGACATTTAGGGGGAATGAAAATAGAAGAGAGAGAGAAATAGTGTTACATTAAGCATTACCTCCACTACCACAGGAAAAGCTCTCCTGAGCAAAATGATATTTATGTGAAACTGCTATTACAGACTGAGATGCCTCTGTCACCCCAAAGTAAATATGTTTAAGAATGAGTTGTCTGTGTTCAGCAGAAATACATTACAGGAGGCAAGCAAGGATTTCTTTGCCTTCTGTGAAGGCGTAGGTTATACATTACTCTCTTTGGAATGTCCATAAGAAAGTTACTTAATACTCTGAGCAGTACTTACTGGGAAAGGGAAGGCAACTATTATCACTTGGACTCCCCCTTTGGGGGATGCTGTGATGATAACTTTCTGTTTAAATTTGGGAAACACATAGCGCACAAATGAATGAAGTTCATTGTCTTTGAAGTTTCCTATGTGAGTCATGGTGAAGATTCTACATAATTACATTAAAATTACAGGGACAGGAATCAGCATGCAAACAAGCCATGGGCAAACATATAGTTACGTGATTCTATCAGCTATACAAACGAAAATTAGCTCCCTTTCCACACTACTTGCCATGCTCTCTGTGTTACATAAGTTAGTGATAACATCTAAATATGTTTTCAGAACTTAGAAAAGTCTTGCCAGCAGAATAAATCAGTGTAAAAGCCTAGCAGGAAATTTGCTGAAAGCCAATATTAGTAATTCATTTAATATCAAACCTGCCAAGCATGCCTATTTTGGGGGCCCAAATACAGAAGCTTAAGCCAAGTACTCTAGCAAGAGCACTTTTCTGTCACAGTTCAGACAACTTGCATTGGCTCACAACCCTGTCTTAATATTTCCAGTTTAGCGGAGAGGCACATTAAACAGTCAGTGGTGAGAGAGCTGGCAGAGTGGGTGGGAAGTCAAGAGGTAAGGCTTGCTAAAGGGACACATGTATGAATATCTCTAACAGAGCTTGTCTAACCCACACCAGTGCTACAAGGAACCTGAGCAAACTCAGATTGCACTGCGCACTTTCACTCCTGGCTAACTTGACTGTTAGACAGAATCATAGAATCATAGAATCGTTAGGGTTGGAAAAGACCTTAAGATCATCTAGTTCCAACCCCCCTGCCATGGGCAGGGATGCCTCACACTAAATCATGCCACCCAAGGCTTTGTCCAACCTGGCCTTGAACACTGCCAGGGACAGAGCACTCACAACCTCCCTGGGCAACCCATTCCAGTGCCTCACCACCCTAACAGTAAAGAACTTCCTCCTTATATCCAACCTAAACTTCCCCTGCTTAAGTTTGAACCTGTTACCCCTTGTCCTGTCACTACAGTCCCTAGATGACTATTAAACATTACTGATAGCAAACAAAAGCTTCCTTTGACTAAGTTTGAAGGGGAATGAAAAGTATTTTGTAACTGTCACCCAAGTATTTCTCCCCGTGGAGGACAAGGAGGAGGGGCAGAGGGAAGGAAGTCTTGCAGAACAAGTTTCATCACTGACTACAGTCCTTTTATTTATCGCTGTTCTCTTTTCCTTTTGATGAAAGGGAGTCCAAGTCTTTCCCTGTGGTAAAGTACATTGTACTTTGTGATGGGCATCTGGAATGTATATTAAATGGACAGTCTTCCAAAACCAGTTTATGGTGTTCTGCAGCTTCTCTCCAAGTTCAAGCAGAATGGCAGATACCAAAGGATGAAGTACATGTGCATTCTTCTTTTATCTCACAGATGATTATTGACAAACAATACACAAATTTCTATTTTATTTATTAATAATGTCAGCAGACCAGACAGATTTTCAAAGTGCAGTCAGGTTGCTTTTCTAAAATGACTTCTAACTCTGCTAACCTTAATTTGGGGTTGCCTTTACTGCAGAAACAGTATGACCAGAATCTGTATGTTGGACTGGCTAGAGCCAGTGTCCCCAGGCCCGTATTTAGGCATCCAAAGAAATGGTCTGATTTCCAAAACTGCTGAGCAGTCAGCAGCCCTAATTGGAGTCCATGGGAACTGTCAGATGTTTAGCACATTTGAAAAATCAGGTCACTTTTGTAAGCAACTAATTGTTGCTGTAAGAGCCCAACTTCAGCACCTAATTTTACAAGGGCTCAATGTTGCTTTGCCCAGAAACCTTTCAAAGTTGGGCATCTGGCTTGCTCTCAACGCTGACTTGAGTAGAGGCCCTGACCGCTGTTTGCATCCTGGGAACCTCCCTCGGGCAGGATGGGGTTCACCCTGTCTGCTGTTCTAGGCTGTGTTGGAGAGGTGCCTGAACTGTGGCTGAGCTCCCTGTGATTCAGAGGCAGAGGCCCCAGCAGGCTCTGGTGACCACACTGAGAGCGGCCCATTCACAGGCCACCTCCTTGGACCCCATTGGCTGCCTCTGAGCAACCTGGCACCACCAGAATCACCACAGGAGCCCCCTTCCCATAGCCTCTGACATGACAGGGGATACTACAAAGTGTCTGCCTCATTCAAACAGCATTTCTGGAAACTCTGAGTCTTGATTTGCTTTATTTTGCTCTCTTCTGAAAAATATTAAAAAAAATAAACTGTGGACAAATCCTGCAGAAAGAGACCCCACTCTTGGTTC